TATATATATATACCACATATGCAACTTGTTACTTGGGTGCATATGTGGTATATACCAGATGTGTACCTGGTACTTACCAGGAATGTACATAGTGTATATATAAGGGTGTACATACTGAGTATAAACCAAGTACTTACCCGATTTCTAGTATGTACAGGTAAGAGCCCAGTTTGCACCTGATAACTACATGGTAAGTACCTGTTAGTTACTATGTACGGCTATATATCTGACACCCATCTGTGTGTACAAATGTTTTTATACACTGTGCGTTCCTGGTAAGTACCAGTCTGTATGTATGTATTAATACTGATTTTTTTATTTTGATTATTTTAGATTTGACAATAAAAAATGCTTAAAAGAGCTAAAATGATCTGAACACAAATCTCTTTGTTTCCAAGCTCTGAAATTAAACTTGAAAAGATGTAAATATACAATTAAAACTGTATAATTTAGTTGTGTTATATAGTTTAGACTTCACAATCATAAAATAAAATAATCAAAGTAGACAAATAGTGTGTATAGGAAACTTAGTGCATCTAAACAACACACTGTGATGTGTATTTAAAGCTCATTTTAAGTTGAATCTGACGCCAACTTCAAAGTTTAGTGTGTAATCTTAAAACACGCTCGTCATGAGCAGTCTGTCTTTATCCAACCACAGTAGATTTGGTGACAAAACAAAAATGTTTCCCATCATCTGAGACAGTCGCTCTTTCCTAAAAGCCTCTAAGCTGCAGAGGCGGCTCGGATGGAACAACGCTGGGATGTTTGATTAAGTTTGTGTCGAACAAACACTGCGCTCACAAACATGCTGATCCAACAATAAAAGGCAGGAATGAAAGGGAGCCGTCACAGCTTAACTACAAAATGGTGCTGCGTGGAAATGTGATGGATGAACTGGGATGATTATGGCAGCATTAATGTTGTCTGAGCTGTTTTAGGGCTTAGAGGAAGACCCTCTGAGTGTGTGATATACTGAATGTTTGAGCAGGTAGAGACAGATTTACAGCAAACAGCACTTCTGCTACTTTAGAGTCCAGGATGCATCAATCTTTGCAAAATAAAAGAAAAACACTAAACGTGAAGCGGCAAACACAAACACACAGACGTACAATCAAAATAGGAGTTTGCTTAAAGGGATCTCCGACTGCTTGCACATGTTGGCTTTAATATGTTATTTCTCTATTCTACTAAAAGTTGTTTGTAAAATTCCTAATTACTTAAAAACTTCTGTTTATTACTTTTTTCACTGAAGCACCTCACCATCTTTTTACTGACGCAATGAATTCTGGTGGCCACTGAGACTAAAACACCAAGAATGCCAAATTAGTTCAAGCGCTAACGCTGTATTTATTATCTCTGGAGCTAACGCTATATACAGTATACATATATATTAGCTTCGGGGCTAACACTATATATTGTAGCTCAAGAGCTCATGTTATATTTATTAGCTCGGGAGCTAATACTGTATATTTTTTAGCACTGTAGCTGTCATATTTTGTAAAATAAACATATTAGCTTGAGACCAAACAGAATAATTATTAGCTGTAGAGCTAATGCCATTTATCGCTATTTATATTATATTAGCTTGGATGCTAAAGTTATATTATTAGCTCTAGAGCTAACCCCATAAAGTTTTACAGTATTTATTAGCTCTAGAGCTAACACCATTTAATGCCTTATATAGCAAAGGAGCTAACAGGAAAGCTAAAAGACTAAAACTGAGGTTAACCTGCCATAAAGCACTTCTGCTGCCCTCCATCTGTTTTCATTTGCAGGCAGAGTAATTTCTACATTCTCCTCTCTGTTGATGCTCTCTTGTTTAATTTAAAATGGATGAACGTCAAACATTGTTCAAAATTAACACTCAAACACCAAAGCAGCCCGTATTTATCCAGAATGCTTTGCAGGGTTTACAATACGCTGTCATTCGTGTGACAAAATATTTATTTTATTTAGAAAAACTAAACAGCCTACGGTATTTTTACGACCTCGTTTTTATAATTGAAGTGAATATTTATGTCTAATGTTACAACTAGTCGGAGATCCCTTCAGGGGATATTTTGCTGTTAGGAGTTGAAGAGTCTCAAAGGATGTCCATCGATGATTTCCATCCTTACAGAAAAAAACAAAAAAAAAAAAAAACAAGACAACTGTCTTTTCCCTTCATTTTCCTCCCGAGGGGCTCCATTACATCTCCGGTTCTTGCTGGGATTTCTGAACACGGGTGTCCATTAACATAGCTGCAGAGTCTCTCCTCTCGCCCCCAGAGTCTTTAGGGCCTCATTCAGGCTCAGGCTGCCGCGTCCATCACTCTGCCATTAAGGAGGCTTTCATTTCCTGCTCGCGTCCAACTGGGGATCAGTTTCTTAAAATGGGGTTCCTCATCAGGGGCTGAAAAGAGGGAGGATTGTGCTGAGCTGTGACTCTCCATTCCCCACCTCCTCTCTGCTGATACATGTTGGCTCAAACACCTGGCTGCTCTGAGTCTCCGCTAACAGCAAGAGACCTGCATGCAGAGGCCACACTGTTTACACAAATATCACATTTTATTTGTGAATAAACAGCCTTACTGACAGCGTGTTCGTTGTAAGACTGCTTATTTCACGTTTATTGGTGTAATAAAGAAAATTTACACGTTACTGTTGGAGAAATACAAATAAATACAATTTATTTGTAGGTGGTGTTGTAACAAAGTATGTATTCCCTGTATTTTGCTGGTTAACAGCACAATATTTAAAGACATTATACTGACATATACATGATATAAACGTTATGTTTGTCACTGAACAAAAGTTGAGTCATCATTTTATTCACTTTGGTTTATTCATGCAAAACACTCAAAATAACCTGCTGTGTACAATATACTTATCTGATATTTATTAAATATTTGTTTATAATATGTTTTTTTCAGTTTTGATACAGTTGTATAAAATGAAATCATTGTTTCAGATTTACATTTGTAAAAAAGCAAAGTGAGTTCTCGTACCCAAAAAAACAAAATGTGAACTATTGTGGTTTTCTGTTTTTCAAATGAACAAAAACAAAACTTGACGTTAAAAAAAGGTTTAAGATAACAAAAGATTCCTCAGAAAACGTGTTTTGAATAAAAAATAAAAAAGATAACAAGGGTCGGTTTAACATTTAAAGGTTAAAATTTTAGTTTACTTTTTCAGCATCAAAACCCAAAACAGTCACAGCTTGGCTTTAAGACAAGCGTGTTTATATCGTCTACATGATTTACACTAATAGGTCTGGGTGATTTGGCTGAAAAATGTATCAGGATATAAGCGTTTTCTCAATATATATAATTATTGATAATTTTTTAACCTATTTGAAATAAGGATCAGGAGAAAAAAGGGTGATTAATTCCTCTTTAATCCACAATTTAGCTAACGGCAGACTGAGCAGAAAGGCAAAATTATTGAATGTCTGAACAATAACCTGGTTTACATTACGACTAAAATTAAAATTATTTAATGTTTTTGTGTGGGCGATATATTGAGTAWATGGGACCCTTCAGTTAAAACAAGGGGTTAGGTCATATTTGAGCAAACTAAATGAAGCACATTTTTAATTCTTAGGTTTTTAAACTACATTTTAATACTCAGATAATCCTAATAGGATAACACCACAACATTAGTGTGAAACCTATTTTTAATGTAGTTTAATGACCTCGTTTCAAGAGGGGAAACATCAAATCGTATTTGGATGTTTTGATTTCACAGCTTTTATTGTAATTAGCTTCACTAGCATGCAGGGAAAGAAGAAAAATGTGTTTTTTTTCTGCTCAGAAAAGTGTTTCAAAACATTATTATGGATTTTGGAAATTTCCTTCAATGGACCCATAGATACAGTTTATTAATCATATTTTGATTAAATCCAATAACTGGAGTTTATCATGTCAAAGCACCTCACACCAGCCCATGCTTGTTATTAATGCAGCTTCATTTAAAGGTTTAATTCAAAGTTTTATTGATGGACGTAGGATGAATGATATGCAGCCACCTGAATATGCCTCGCTGAATACACTGTGTGTGTGTGTG